TAGGTGCCTGAGGAATCCAGAAGAGGGCATCAGACCCCTTAGAGCTGGAGTTATTGGCTACCCGAACTGAGTTCTGAGAACTGAACTCGGGTCCTCTAAAGAGCAGTAAGTGCTCTTAATTGCTGAGCCATCTTTCCAGCCCCTGGCCTGTACACTTTATATTGAGTGAGTTGTGTGGTATGTGAGCTGTGTCTCAAACTGTACATATATAATATAGATGCATGCATCTCAGTTCTGAAATTCTTAAGTAATTTACTTTAAACGTTCCAGAGAAAGACAAAGATAATACGGACCTTTTTACGGATGAGAGAATTGGGCTGCGATATGCTGAGGTCATTTTTCTCACCTCTAGGCAGGTGTTAACACCTCAGTTAACAGGTCCTTCTTTCTAATACCTTCCCTGTCATGGAGAAAAGGTCCATATACTTCCTAGAGAATGAATCTCATCCCTGGAGATGATACATTGTGGTGATCACATGCTGACCAACAGGAGGGAGGATGAGATAAATGAAAACGAGTGTCTCTATTGTTACTAATACAATTAGATCCATGCTTGGCCTCAGCATCTGAGACCAGAACCCAGGTCTCTTGAGTTTGTCGCCAAACACTTTTAAAACTCTTTACAGAATGTTGAAATAGAACTGATTATTTTTCTCCTGGTAGAGATGTAGGTGGATCTATTAGAAATCAATGCAAATAGCTCAGAGATGCCCTTGTGGCTTCTGGCTAAGCACGGTGCCTGAGCAATGGAGATACAACATGAGATTACTCATGCAGCCACTCGCTGACTTGTGTTGGCTCTGATTGTTTCATAGTATAGTAGTTTTTCTTGACAGCCTTCATTGTTGACCAGGGAGGCCCAGACTCCACTGGTGGGAGTTCTGGCCTGGACTCTGCACTAATAGTCACATTCTTTCCATTTCAGGACTCTGACCTTCTAGGGCCTTCATTCTTATCAAAGTCTAGGACCAGTATCATTTCTTCTGTTTCCCTCTCTCCTGGGTCTTACCACTCAGTGATTATAGCCTTGTAGGCTCCATGGTAAATTTACTTCTTTTTGCCTTTATGTGGCAATGCTCTTTAATCTCTGTCATGTGACCCAGTAGTGGGAATGGGAAAGCCCATAACACGGCTTTTGGTAACTCTGTCTTCTTGCTCTTTTAATGCATTAAGTAGTAGCAAAAGGGCTAAGTGGTCACAAGGGGCCCTGGCATACTCCTATACAGACACGG